TCATCTCCTGGTTTCATGTAGATAAATCATTGAATTATTTTTAAAAAATGATAATAACAATGATTTCACCTGAGAGTACGATCCTTATCTTATTGGATAAACAGTTTTCTTTAATATATGGGGACATTTTATCTGGTTCTTCATTCAATGTTTGTTCAATGATGGTGTCGTCAAGCAAACATTTCTTCAATGATTGTTCGATATTACAATAATAGAATTTTTCTCCACCTGAAAAATAAAAATTATTGCAGTATAATTATAGATATTTAAATTTACAAAATTACCTGGGAGTTTTACAGTTTCTGGTTTAATAAACGTTTCCAGGTTGTCCGCAAATTTATTCTGAAGATATCTAGAATTGGCAAATTTTGACATAAATTTTTGAAGTTTTTGATGACTTGGATCCATGGGGTACATGTTCCAATAAATTCGATGAAAATCTGATATGGTTTTTTGTGTCATATGGTTTTGTAATCGACATTCATTTAGTGACTTGCAAAAATTCATAAATTTAATATATAAATCGTTGGTTAGTTCGTCTTTTACCACATCGAAAAACGATCGACCATGAATTTCATTGTCATTGATTTCATCAGCATAATCAAATACGTCTTCATAATCAAAATCATCATCATCATCATCACCACCATCATCATCATTAAGATTATGTTCATCAACAATTGGATTTGAACGTGTGAAAGCAGTATCCGTGGATTCTATATTAACACCATCACCATCATCATCATTAAGATTATGTTCATCAACGATTGGATTAGAATGTGTGAAAGACAAATCGTTGGATTCTATATTAACATCACCACCATCATCATCATTAAGATTATGTTCATCAACAATTGGATTTGAACGTGTGAAAGCAGTATCCGTGGATTCTATATTAACACCATCACCATCATCATCATTAAGATTATGTTCATCAACGATTGGATTAGAATGTGTGAAAGCAGTATCCGTGGATTCTATATTAACACCATCACCGTCAACCAGATGGGATTCAATATTAACATCATCGATCGGATTTAATTCATCATTATCATCATCATCGATTGGATTCGAATTAGATGCGGAGCTTGATCCTAAAATCGCTTCCCTTAAAGAATCATAAGTTGTTAAAAATTATTCTAATAAGAAATTTACACATACGGATGATTTTCGCAAATATGATAATATAAATCGGTAAAGCCCGTGAAAACCTGGTCATGTTGATCGCATGAAACCTCATTAATTGTCCGTTTTCTAAGCCTTTTAAGGGCACAAACTAAATTATGATTATCATCGAATTTTCGTTTTATTGTTCGCTGCAATAAAATCATCATTAAAATTACAAAAATTAGAAGAATATAAACATACAGCTTTTATATTTTTATCAAAAGACTGTGCTATTTGATAATTTGTTATAATCTGATTTAAAGATTGGCCCGAAATCGTGTTATCAATGATTAACCTACGAATAAAATTCATAGTCATCTGCCAATAATCCATATTAATGTCAAAAGTGACATTTTGATCTTTATCCACAACTTTTTTTATACGTTCAACCAATCGACCAAATGTTACTACAATTTTTGCAATTGGGTTTTCTCCACTTATGTTATCAATTATTTTTTTTAGGGTCTCGTTAATATATCGCTTATCTTTTTTTTCCATATTTAAAATTTAAGAAGTACAATTTAAGAATTAAAGCAAAACAAAATTAAATGTTCAAAACACAACAAAAAATTTCTGACAAACAACAATTTTCATAATTTATTTTTATGCATTTATTTCAGCTCAAAAATTTCTAAAAAATTTCCCAATTTCAAAACAAAAAAAATTGAATTTTTAAAAAAATTAAAAAATTTTTCTAAGTCGATGAAAAAATTGCAAAAAATTT